ACAGCTCCAGCTTCATTTGAAAACTTTGCTTAAATCCAGCATATTTGGAAGATCTTATAGCCCTCCCACAGCCTCATCATCCCTGAACCAGTGGACTGGAGCAGTTCTGAGGGTTGGGGGAGGGAGGTAGCTGCGTTTCTGAACACTGGGTGTATTTAACCCACATTTTCACATCAGGAATGTAATCGACAGCAGACAATGCTGACTGAGCCCTGCCACCCCCTGCAGCTTGCTAGCCTTGTGATGGCTCTAGGCAAATGAAGATGCCTTTGGGCTTCAATTTTTTCGTATGTAAAAGGAAGCTCAGACGTGATATCTGTGAAGCACCAAGCAGCACGGGCGCATGTAAACTGCAGCCATCCTGATGAGGGCGATGGCGACGGTGAAGATTTCAGCGAAGCCTGACGTCTCAAGACAGGGCTGGTGAATGGGTGGGTTTAGTGGCGAAAACTCAGTCTGCAGGGTCACTCCAGTCAGCCACTCCCCAAAGGCTTTCCTTGGGAACATTTAAGCAGCATCTTAAAAAAAAAAATCACTCATATGCACTGAAAAGCGATCAGACTCCGTGATTTTCCTCCCCTCCCTTAATCTGAACTAAAATCTGAGTCTTTGCAGAGAGGAAAGGTGAGAGCATCAATTTTCCTTTCCGTTCTAAAGCAGAATTCCTTGGAGGCCTGGTGCTATAAATATAAGAGTATAATTATTCTTTCTTTAAGCTCTGTGTAAAATAGAATCATACTGATTGGTTTAAATTAAAAATAAATTGTATGTGAAGAATCTGGGCCTGAGTAGGGGAAAGCATGTGGGCTTAGAGTCATAGATCCGGGTTCGAGTTCAGGTGTCCCCCGCCACCCCCACCCCTGCCACTAGTCACACGGTTTGGGAGAAGTTGCTTTACTTTCCTGTACCTTGGTTTCTTCACCTGTAAAGTGGGGATAATAGCTGCTGCTTGTGGGACATAGTGGGGATGAGGTTACGTATGTAAGATGCCTGGCGTGGTGCTGAGAACATAGTAGGTATGCTGATGGTGGAGTAAACCATAGGATTAATAAGTCAGGGACTCCAGCTCTCCAGCAGTGTTGAGGAAGGAAGAGGTGAGGAGGAGGCTTCCTTGCCTGTGCAGGGCCCCTGGCCCCTGGCCCCTGAGCTGTTTTCTGGCCAAGACTTAACTGCATCCTCTGTAGGCTCCATCTGCAAGAAAGGGTAGCTGACTCCAAGGCCTATGGACTCCACAAGGAGCTGTGAGGACCACCCTGATGGCCCTGGGATAGGAGCTTTCAGGTTGGCCACAGAAGCTCAGCCTCCTCTTTGGTGGTTCAGGTAGGGTTTTGGACAGAGGCCCTGTGATGGAAGAAAAGCCCAGAGTAGTCTTCTTCTCTGAGTTCCTCCCCCTGTAAACTGAATGCTCACTATTAAATTTTTTAAACTGACATAAGATTGATTTACAATGTTGTATTATCTTTTGCTGTATAGCAAATTGACTCAATTACACACACACACACACACACACACACACACATTCTTTTTCATATTATTTTCCATCACAGCTTATCATAGGATATTGAAAATAGTTCCCTGTTATACAGTAGGTCCTTGTTGTTTTTTCTATTTGTTACACCATGTGGCTTGTGAGATCTTCTCCAACCAGGAATTGAACCTGGGCCATCACAGTGAAAGCCCAGAGTCTTAACCACAAGGCCACCAGGGAAGTCCTGGGGCCTTGTTTATCCATCCTATATGTAACAGTTTGCCTCTGTTAGGCCCAAGCTCCCAGCCCTCCCCCAGCACCCCCCCCGCTTTGACAGCCACACCTCTGTTCTCTTTGTCTGTGAGCCTGTTTCTGTTTCATAGGTATCTGAACATCCAGCATTTTAAATGGACTCAAAGCCCACTGGCTCACAGCCATCCCCTTGGCCCATCCAAAGCTCTCTCAGACAAAAATGCTACTCAAGAGGAAGTCAGTTATTTAAAACCTTTATTAAGGCTTGGAGAAAGATAATGCAATGTGACAACGTACAGGTCCTGCTGCTTAAATCCATAACAGAAACAGATCTTATAACCTAGCCAGCCCACATGGTGCCGATGCTGAAATCACACAAGGGTTGCTCTTCCTTAGGAAATGGGTCCTGGAAGCATTGTTTGGCCTTGTTGTTCTAAACGAGGCCTTTTCCTAGGTTCGAGCTGAAATTTCTGTGTGTGTGTCTGTGTGTGAAAGTACAGCTACAGCTCTGGGCTAGCATTTTCTATTTATTTAGTTTTGAGTGTCAGCATTTCACTCTACTAAGGCCTCTCACTTCAGAATAACAGGGCTATTTATTGATACAAAGGAGAGGTGTTCGGATCATCTTGTTAAGATGCAGGGCTCAAAATAAACATCATATCTTTATTTGGAAATCCACATCCTTCCTCAAAGGAAGGCTCAGGAGTAAATTTGTATGAAGTATGAAGCCCCAAGTGGAGGGTCTATTTTTAAGGACAACTTTGCTTACATTTTAGACTGTACAAATGCCTGAGTCCATGCTTACAGGAATTTGGATTTTCCTCAGTTTTGAGATAAAGAATCTCAGCAATAAATACTACTGTAGGCTTCAAAACATTAGGAACCAGAATGCAAGGATTTCTACCTGACTTTTGAGAAGAGACAAAGCAGTGGCATGAAAAAATATACAACAGCAATCAATGAGGGGGTTCAGATCAACACAGTAAGCGATTTTATGCCTCGGGGGAAAACACCGAGATAATAAATACAAATGACAAATATTTACAACAGAAGCAACACATGGGGCATCAGTAGCGAACATGTAAAACATTTACACTGAGGAAAATACCCACCCAGCCCAGAAGCGGGCGAACAAATGAGCAGCTGACCCAGCAACGCGACAGAATGTTATTGCTTCAGCTTTTGAGTGATGTAAGGAAAACAGTCCACGTGCTGTGTGGCTTCAGACAGCCATGGTTTACGTTCAGTTGCCATGGAAGAGTCTGACACACCGGTCCTTCTCTCTCCGAGGGCAGAGCTGGATCAAGTGCAACATCTCCTCTGCTTTTTGCAACTCCAGCTCTTTCTAGGTGCTTCTCCCAGCCTCTGGTACCCATCCCCCCAACAGATGGTTTCTTTCCAACATGGATCATGAAAGATTGGGAAAACGACGCTCTGGCACCTTGTCCTGGCAGCAATGAGACTGGATTTAGGTTATATAAACACTAGCTGGGCTTTGGGTAAGGGCATTCTGTGGAACACATCATTTTTGAGTAGATAAATTTAGCCTCTTTATCTCTGGCCTCAGGTTGCTTTGAGGGAGAGCTATGAGTTGATATAAATGGAGGATGCATACTTTTTTGCCCAGTCACCAGAACAGCAGTCAGCAAACTCAGGCCCAAGAGCCAAATCCAGTTGGGCGCTTGTTAAATAAAAATTTAATGGAGTGGAGCCAAGCCTATTTGTTATGTGTTGTCTGTGTATGTTTCTGCTTTCAGGCAACAAAGGCTGAGTTGAGTAGCTGTAACAAAAACCATACAACCTGCCAAACTGAAAATAGTGTATTCACTATCTGGGCCTTTACAGACAAGGTTTGCTGACCCCTGTTCCAGAGGGACCTGGCCCAGAACATCCATCCATTCCTTGCAATACTGGGCTCCTATTTGAGTACTGGCTGCAAGAAAGGATAAGCTTTGTCAGGAAAGAGAAGAAAAGGCCTATCTCTGAGACCTCTTCAGTAACCACAAGACACCGGTTGCCAGTGCTTTCTGCTCTAATCCTTCCCCTGTTCTCAGTTCTGTCTCTCCTCCCTGCTTTTCTTTGTCCACTCTGACTCCTCATTGCTAAATTTTCATTCTGGATCTGGGAAATCTTGTCCCAGTGATGTGCAGCAGTCTCCTCCATTTACATCAAAGGTCGGCGTTCCCTGGTGAAAATTAAGAGTAGTCCTTCTGGGTTCCCCTTTTCCAGCCTCTAGCATGGACAGGCCAGCTTTCCAACTCGGCCCAATGGAACCCACGGTCCGCCTTGGCTGAGGGTCAAGGCGAGGTACCGAAAGGCAAAGGGAACTCTGTCAAATGCACTCCTGGGTGCATTTTTTTTCCAGGGTGGGCTTTGCGCTAGTGGCAATGAGCCCATGTCAGGCAGTCAGACATAAAGCTACATCACTTTTTGATTACTTTAAAAATAGCACTTAAAAAAAAAAATTTAGCCCCCAAAGATGGGTTGCTTTTTGCTTTCTTTTGAGCTGGTTTTAATGACCCAGTTGCTTGTTTGAAAGCTATTTATTTAGACGACAGATACGGAGATGTAACTGGATAAATAAAAAAAGTGAAATTGAGGCTCGAAGCAGTGGTTAAAATACAAACACACAGGGGTCACTCCCTGCAGCAGGGTCCCCCAGACAGAACAATGGCTCAGAAATTACACTTAGAATCCTTGCCACCCCCACAACCCCCTGCCCCATCCCAAGTTACTCCAAACCTCAAGGTCCCATGCAAGAAACTGGATTTGTGTTTGGCACCAGGCACCCACACGGCCCTGCCCCCGCTCCACCCTCCTGATTCCCAGCGAGGTTTGCACACCCACTCCTGCGCGGGAATCCAGCTGCGCTCCGCTAGGACCGCACAGAAGCTGGGGCGGGGGGGGGGGGGGGGACAGCACCAAGCGCTCACTCTGGCCCCCCGGGGGTCACCCCGCCCCTCGCGTCACCTCCCAGGGCAAAGGGAGCCGCAAGCCACAGCCCAGGGTCTCCGCGGCTGGGAAGAAGGCAAAGTTGCGAGGAGGGCGGCCTCCCGTTGGGTCGTGTGGGCGCGGGACACGCCAGGCGCCACCGGGCCCTCGCTGCTGCCCAGGGAGCCTCCGCCTCACCTGTTCACGCCGCTAACATACACCTAAGTCCGCACTCCCCATTACATCCTGTGAGTGATAGCCCCCTCTTTAATGGCGAATGTTTTGGAATGTCCAGAGAGAAGAAAATGGACGGCGTGGAGGAAAAGGCTTCCCGGCCGGGCCTCTCGTTTCACCTCCGGATGTCGGAATGCTCAGGCTGTTCGTCCTCCCACTCGCTGCTCCCAGAAGTTCCCTGGGCCCCAGGGCCGGCCGCTCTGCCCCGGGCGTGGGCGCGGGGGTTGCTCTTGCTACCTCGCTCTCCCTGGGCACCTCGGCTGGTCTCCCGACTGCTGGGCTCTGCGAGGTGGTGCCCCGTTTCCGCGGGCTGGCCCCTGGAGAGCTTGGCCCTGTCGCCCTGGAGCTGGCGCTCGGGCGGCGCCGTGGGGGGTCTCTGGATGGCCGAGGTGCAGAAACTCAGGATGGAGCACAGGCTTCCCCAGTTCTGCTCGCACTGAGCCTGGACGCTGTGGGTGATGGCCTCCTTCACCTCCTCCCCACAGGTCAGCAGCAGGTTCACTAGGTCCACGTAGGGTCTGGGGATTGAGAGAGAGACCGGGGCTGGAGAAGGCCTCCTGTGGGCTGCCGAGGGCAGGACCCACACGAGGCGGGGGGACCTGGCCGATGCTTCACTTGGGTTTGGTTTGGCAAAAGATGTTCCTGGAATTACTGCTAGTCTTTACCTGGATTCTGTGGAGTACTGGGCTCCCTGCCAGGCACTGGAGGGAACTGGAGCCTGGGAGAGGGAGCCCGCCACAAGAAAAAGGGCCCCTGACAATACACAGGTGTCTGTGCTAGAAGCCTAGAAGTCCTGAGGAGTGAGGCACACAGCTGTGGGAATAAGGCGGGTCTGCCCGGTTCTGCTGTGCTCCGTCGTCTCTGACTCTTTGCAATTCTCGTGGACTGTAGTCCGCCAGGCTCCTCTGTCCATGGGGATTCTCCAGGCAAAAATACTGGAGTGGGTTGACATGTCCTCCTCCAGGGGATCTTCCTAACCCAGGGGCCAAACCCAGGTCTCCCACTTTGCAGGAGGATTCTGCACTGTGTGAGCCCCCGGGCCTGTTTAGGGTGTGCTAGCTAGGATTTTAGCAGGACGGGAAATGGGTCTTGGAGCCGGTGGAATATTACTTATGCAAATAGTGAAGGGCCTTAAATACTAAACTGAGGAGGCTTTATGGCAGGGAAGCGAGACTGGCTGGCTTTGCACTCGGTGTCCTTCTCCTTGATAAGTCTAATCTAAGTGACACTCCCAAAAATCAACTTTCCCCCTGTGTGTATTTGTCCCTGGTTTGGGCTCATGATAATGAAGGGTGTTTGGGAAAGTTTCTGGATGCATTCTCCTTTGTATCTGGAGGCGTCTGGAACAGGTGAAGGGCAGGGCTGGGGTGTAGATTCCAACCAAGATTTCCCTTCCTTGGTGGCAGAGGCTGAGGTGGGGGAGTGGCTGTCTGAACAGCTCTATTCTTTGGGTCTGGGCTTCCCCACAAAGGGAGGTGAGGGCTGGTCTGGCAGAGAGGGGCCTCTGTGCTTGGGAAGAGAGCCAGCTGTCTGTGAAATATGCATGCTTGGTTCCCAGGGGGAGGACCAGTTGCTCAGGCCATCTTTAGGAAAAGTGCTGAAGGAGGAATGACTACGTACCTTCCTCCTGGGGGTGGAGATGTGTGCAGAAAGCCGGAGCAGTGTGCCTATTTTGGGGCCCATCTGGCAAAAGGTGCCCCCTGCAATGGGATCTCCTGGCCAACTCACCAAGCCTTTCTTACATCTCACTGGACTCTTAAAATCCCCAAGGTATGGGGAGGGGTATGGCATGTTCCAGATGGCTAACAAGCTTTCTTAAGCAGCTCTCACTGGCAGAATTTCTGGGTCTATCTGACCATGCATTGGGCCATCCCCTTGGGCAGGAGATCAGTCTGGCACGTAAGATCACTTATAAGAACAAGACTTTTTTTTTCCCTCGGTGAGCCTGCACCATGGGAGGCTGCACTACAGTCCATTTGAATCTTTTCTCTGCATGTTGGCAGTTGTTGCCCAGCAGGAAGGGCAGATTGTTTTAAGACTTGTGACGCAGTTTGCTGCCATTTTCATGAATTAGTCCTCAAGTTGTAATTGAGTGAACTGCCCTCATTTCATAGCTAGAAGAGCAGAGACATGGTGGGGGAGAAAGTGGCTTTTGGAAGCTTCTGGGCCGAGAAGGCCTGGGGCTGGGCTGAGAGCGGAGAGGAGGAATGTTCCGGCTGACAGAGATCAAGCTGCCTTTTAAGGCTTACTTGATGCCTCTGGAGTCGGAGAGTCTGGGCTCAGCTGATGAGCAGGGTGCTGAGAGTCTTGAAGACAGGCCCCTACCCGTGACAAGGATAGTGATGGCCCAAGGTGACTTCAGCTGAGAGAGGGGGGCGTGCGCACACGAGGGAAGTGCTCCCTGAACGTCTGTTTCCTTCCATCTTTTGAAAACTAGCAACTGACAGCCTCAGGGACAAGTTTACCGAGTGTCTGCTAGAGCACCATTGGGATTTTAGCACCTGAGCCTGCCTGCCACCTCCTGCGGCTAGACAAGCAGATCATGGAGACTAAGCATCTGTCTTTTGGGGATGCTTTTTTCCAAGTTTCTTTCCCCAGAGTAAGGAGAGGAAGGGCCCTCCTGGGAATCCACGGGCTGCCTCTTGGCCTCCTTCAGCAGGGGATCCTGCCTGCCAGACGAGCTTGCTGAATCCCAAGGCGGATCCCAGAAGGCCGGACTACCCCACGCTCTTTTCTGCCCTTGGCGCTCTCTGCCGAGGAGAAAGCTGTGAACCATGGGGAGGGGTGTGTTCATCTAAGCTGTGTTTCAAGCTGGCATGGTGCCTTCTCAGGCTGCTAGCTCAGCCCGTGTCTAATGACAAAGCCCAGCTCTCTCCACTGGGCGTCAGCAAGGCTAAAGGGTTTTTAAAAATACTTGGAGGGGGATGTGCCTGGAGGCTGCCAGCACCCAGTGACAGGGTGTCTGATGGCCAGGCGGGTGATAGGGAGAAAGTGGGAGGGAAGGGGCAAGGGGAGCAGAGTGTGTGAAGGAAGTCACTAACTGAATGTGCGCATTTTAGGGGTTAGGGGAGGGTCAGGTTGAGGGATGCGGGTGATATGGATTCTAGGATGACTATGATTTCCTTCTCTCTAGAGGGAAGAGCAAATTCAGTTTTCATTTTCTTATCTGTGGCCAACGTCATACATTCTTAAATGGCCTTCTTGATATTGGGGACTGATGGGATTTTTGGTGCCCAAATCAGTTAAGATAGTTAAGAAAAACTAAAAAAAAATTCAGTTCAGCTTTAAATACTAGTTGACAGAGTGTGCAGTTGCAGCTTCAGAAGGGAAGGCAGTGGAATTTTGTGGGGAGCTGGAGTTGCTGGCTTAGCAAGAGAAATTGCATGTAGTCACATTGAGTATTTAAGAAAAAGGTCCAGGTTTGCTTTTGGGGTAGACCACCTGCATTTCCAGAGCAGGGTGGGGTTGGGGCTATGTGGGCTCTAAGTGATGCATGGAGCCTTTTGGAAGTAAGGGTCCCATGGACGATGTTTCCATGGAGGAGACAAAAGACAGCCATAATGCTTTCTGTCTTCTTAAATGCAAAGGTGGGGTGGGGTGGCAAAACCCCTCAAAACCTTCAGTTTTCCCAAAGAAGACTTTTCTCCAAAGAAACAAAAGTCTTCTTGGCTCCAGGAATGTGTTACAGAATTAAAAACTAGGGGCCCGTCACCCATTTTTGAGGCCAACAAACTATCTCTGATGGAGGAGAATAAGTTGAAGACAAATGAACTTCATGCGTTTCTCAGCAATGGAGTGTCTGCCTCTTGCAGGGGCACCTTGAAGGAAGGAAACTTCAGTGTTCTGCTTCTGTAACAGGACTGTTTTTGAAAAAAGGGGAAAAAGTCCTGCTGCATTTGGGGACCAATGAGCCTTTAGTTGGTCTAGTGGGGAGAATGGAGGCCAGGACAAGGAGGTTTGAGGTCCATTCCTGACAACTGGCTTCAGAATCACCAATTCCCAAGTTGGAAATTAGGAATTGAACCTCAGAGCAAGATCTGTAACTATTTAGCTTCACTTTCTTTGTTGCACGGGGTTAGTATTCTCTTGCTTGTAGCACAGTTGGGAAAGGTAAATGAGATTATCTAGGCCAAGTCCCTGGCCAACTCAGAAAATGAGTTATTGTTATTGCTATTGTTGTTGATGCAATTGTTGGTTTGATTCTTTACAGAAATATGGAAGAATAGAAAATATTTTTATTGGGCATTAGTATAACTCAGGCTTCCTAGGTGGTGCTGGTGGTAAAGAATGTGACTGCCAATGAAGGAAATGCAAGAGATGTGGGTTCGATCCCTAGGTCAGGAAAATCCCCTGGAGTAGGAAATGGCAACCTGCTCCAGTATTCTTGCCTGGAAAATCCATGACAGAGGAGCCTGGTGGGCTACAATCCATTGGGTCACAAAGACTCAGACATGACTAAGCGGCTGAGAACACAGTGTAACTCAAGGCAAAGGCAACATTATTTTGCTCCTGGCAAGAGCTGCCTATAGAGATTCATGGTGACTCTAATAATTCTAACACAGTACCACGGATGTTGCAAGGTACCTAGAGCCTTATAACCAAGTGGAAAATGACAGGGGATGGTTGCTCTTCTCTGTGGTCTAAGTGGTATGGATGGGATGGGGAGTGGCCTGTTCAGTGACATAGTTGAGGGAGGCTATGGCACGAACTAAGGAGCAAGGGTTGATAATACTGTACTGATTTGGCCCAGTGAGTCACTGGGCAAAGACGAACAGTGCAGTAACTTGTACTGGGCTGCTTAGCTAGTACCTTGCTTTCTGCCCTGAGGTCCCCAAGGAAGGAGCCATTGTAACTATCATGGGCTACTGTGTTAGGAGCCAACTACGCTTTCATTTGCTTTACTACTCTGCAAAAATTTTTAGGGTCCTGTAGGGATGTTTTTGAACATCCTGGGTTTATGATTGAATTACAAGTCTTCCAAAGAGTATGTTCCTATCCCCTCATTTTGGCATAAAGGTGTTTAGCTGATTAAAGTTTTTATCATTTGTTTTGCATTTTCTCTGGGAGGGCATGGATGTTGAAGGTGAATTGGACATTCTAAGGGAAAGCAGAGCTTATGGAGACAAGGGAAAAAGCTATTGGTATTTAAGAGTATAAGTCCTGGGGCTGGACTGCAGGGTCCTCATCATTGTCTGTGTGACCTTCACCACAGTGAATCTCAGTTTCTTCATCTGTAAAATGGAGATGAAAACGGTACCTAGCTCACGGTGCTGTCATGAAGATCAAGTGAAAAATTCATATGAAGCCTCAGCACAATGCCTGGCACTCAGTGCATCCTCAGTATATATTACCAGCCCGTGGCCATATGCTGGGGCACCTACATGGCAGCTCGGAACGCTCAGGACTGTTGGGGTCCTGGCTGACGGAAAGGCGAAAGGCATTCCTGAATTCCACACGTTTCATGCTCAGTGAAATAGATTTCCTGTTGCTATTGCTTAGGATTTTGAAACTGATGGTGGAAATTTCTTTTGCTTTTCCTGAAGGTCAGCCGGAAAGGGACTCTGAGGGGAGTCAGTGCAGCTTTCTGTGGTAAACCACAACCTCCCCATTTCATAGGAGAGTTCGGCCTCTACTAGTCAACCCATCAAACTGAAGAAGACTGTCTCCGGACCGCAGCAGACCTCTCCTCCCTCCGTCCACGTTGCAGCATCACCCCAGCCCACCCCCGCCCCACCCCACAGGGCGGCACTCACTCATGCAGCAGCAAGTCCTTGAAGTGGATCATTTCCACCATCACCCGGATGTTCTCCTGTGCGGCAGCGCACAGGTCGTGCTTGAGGTAGCATTCCCGCTGTAACTGGAACACCATCTCCTTGATGGCTGGACACTTCCGGCTTATGCAGCTGAATCTGTGCCGCAGAGCATGGGCCTTACACTTCAGGGCATCTTTGATGAAGGACTTGCCCTGAGAGGGGAGGGGGCAGGGGAGGGGGACAGGGGTGGAAGAGACCAGTCCTTATTACACGCTTTGACATTCTGAGCCTTGTTGGGCTTACATGGGGTTTTTCTGACAACCGAACCTCAAGGCCACATCCAGACGGACATCCTTGCAGGTGAGAGGCTGAGGCTACATCAGAGGTCTGTCCACAGTGATGTGAGACCTCTGCCTTCGGTCCCAAAGGATGTTACCTGGGAGACTGACATGGTTGCTTCCTTCCTCCCAAACGCCTCTACTAGCCTCCTTCGTCCTGGGGCTCCCGTGGCCCTCTGTCCTCAAGGAAGCCCAGTATTGACTGTATGGTGGCAACATTTCTGAAATTTTCTGAGGGAAATTTGGGCAGGCATAAGCCCAGAGCTCCTTGGCGGTGTGTGGCAAGAATTTTTCCCAGGTGCCTTCATGTCCAGATCTCACATCTTTCCTGCTCCTTCTAGTGATGTCAAGGTCGGGTATGAGCTGGGCCTGCCTTTCCTGCCTCAGTGCCTCCCGCCGACCCCAACCCGTACTCTCTCTCTCCTCCTCCTAGCCTTTAAGGAGGAGCATTCTTTTCCTTTTTGAAAGCAATTTGACTCCTTTAAACTGTTAGGATTACTGCCTCTAAAAGGCCCGCCTGGCATACTGCCTGCCAGCATCTGGAGCCTGAACTGCCCGGCTGACGGCCCCTCCCCCCCCCCCCCCCCAGGCCTCCGAGTGGCGAAGGCAGCCAGGCATACATCTGGCCTGCAGTTCTCTTTCCTGGCAACCCCGCGAGATTGTTCTCATCCTAGAGAGGAGACAGCTGTTGGGGGTGTGGAGGCGAGCCCCGGCCGTTGGCTTCCTTATCAACCTCGAGGGGCACAGAGGCACCGTGGGATACCCATCCAGGGATCCTCACACCCCATCTTCTACAGAAGCGAGCTGTTATTGGAGAGGTCACCCCTGTTTTTCAGACAGACCTGGAAGTAACGGAGTTGAGAAAGTAAATGGGTTTAGGTTGGATTGGGACACCGGCCAGCACCTTTATTTCAGTCCTCTTCTGTAGAAGCAGCTGAAAGGTCTACAGATAGAGTCTGATCACTGAAAAGCCACCTCATGGTGATTCCCTTTCCTCTGACGCGCCAGTGGGAGCCAAATAGGATGGAGGGTAGGGCGTGCCCGTTGATTAAGTAGTTATGGGCTGAGACCTGACTTGAAAGGGATGCTTCTAACTTGAGAACATACTCCCGTTGGTTGAGGAAAAAAAGGAAGATGAATGTATGCGAGGGCTGCAGCAATCTGTTCTCAGTATTCTTCCCTGACATCCTGTGGGATTGCCCTGAAATACACATCTTTCCTCCGGATTTCCTATTACGTTTCCTAATTCCAGTTAATCCAGAAGGGATGCTTTATTAGGGCATCTCAAGGAGTTCAAACACTTTCCTCCTCTTTCCTTCCCTGGTTTCCCCTGCTGGCACCCGACATCCTCTGCAGGGGAGGCTGCCAGCCCTGTCGCATCCCTTCCTGGTTCCCAGGCGTTGCTTTGTTAGGCTGTCTGCAGGATGTCAGTACATGGTAACTGGTGATGTTCGTAAGTCACACCTCAACTGTTGGCCTCATCCAAACAGTCATGGCTCTCCCATGAAACGACAACGGGGTACTTCACAGTGCATATACAGGCTGGGGAGGACATGGAGGAGATGAGCCTGATGCTCCGCTCCACCTGAAACGTGTTCGAACGTCGTGCACTGGAGCCGTAAGGTTACTTGTTGGGTTCTTTTCCTACCTATGCAGCATCCAGGCTTTTACCCTGGGGACCCTGGGATAAGTGAAGTGGGTCAGGCCCTGACTATATTTGTTATATAGAGCGGGACTCACTCAGGGTTCCAACTTTTCAGGTTGGGAGAGGAGGATCTGCTACTTAGGAGGAAGAAAAACCTGCTCTCTGGAGGCCCTGATTTATCCATGCTGCCTGCCCACATGTCCTCTAGGAGATGATGAATTTCCACAAATTTCAAGTCTGTTTTATTCTTGCCTATTAGGTGAAAATAGCTTTTGGCATGTTTAATTGGAGTCCCTGACCTTCCCTGCCCTACCCCCAGCCTAATGCTATGGTCCTTGCAGATTGGGTTCTGGGTAGCCAGACAGTGTATGTGCCTTATTATTTATTATGAGTTTTCTCTGCTAAGACTCCTCAAACAATTGTTCAGCTTGGTCTCCATCCCACTCTGTGTGTGCACACACAGGTGAAGGGTGGAGGAAGACTCGGCCGATATGACAGGTCCAGAAAGCTGAACCCCAGGAGTGCAGTGGGGAGTCGCTGGCAGCCTGCTGCACACCTGGGGGTCTCTGGCCAGTATGAAAACCCACCATGACAATCAGCTAGGAAACTCTGTTAACAGGCTTTTCCAGTGAACGTTTCAGTCATGCTCTGCTAACCCAAAACATTCTTGGTGCTCAATATGGTTTTTACCTGGGCATCAAATTTTCCAGCGTTGTGCAGAAAAGTCATGCAAATTCCATGTAAGCCCCGAATCTCACAAGAGTTGTTCTCGAAACATTCAAACACGCCACATCCCACATCGCCAGCGCTGACCAAACAATGCTGGATTTCCGCTAAAATGAGAATTACATACAATCATATACAAAATTCTCTGCCATGCTGGGGAATGCAGAGAGATGCCAGTGGAAATAAAAGTAATGACTAAAAGGAAAATTAAGAAAGAGTGTTAGAAATGACTGTTTCAGGATCCAAAAACCAAGTAAAGAAAATTTCATCACTTAATCTACTTATGAAGATAACTAGTATTTGTAAATATTTGTAAAAATTAGCCAGACCTACATTACAAAAGTCACAAGAGAAGTTAGGTCAGAACACTCCATTTTTTCATCCTTCTCATCTTATTAAAGTATTTGTGGGAATACTTAGTTTGACAGCTGCAGATATTTCAGCTTTCTAAACCCACTGACAAAAATAAAATTTCAACCCGTTAGCTTGGTCTTTGCCGTCTGTCCTTCATCAATGAAATACTCTTCTGTACTTGGATGAAGCTGCTGCTATTAAATCACAGCCATTTCCTTCCTGACCCCCAAATGAGAGCGTCCAAAAAGCAGTTTCAATTTAGCTTTATGATTCAACACCTAAAAATCAAAACAAAATTCCTATTAAGGCAGCGCCTCCAAACCATTCGCATTAAAAATACCAGGCTAGGGAAACTGCGGTTTCCTTGCAAGCAGGCTCAGGAGTCGAGTCAGATAGGGGTTAGCCTGCAGAAACGCAACCTTTGCAGTTCGAGGTTCCTTTTTAATAGCGATCTGGGGTGAGATGTCGCTTAATTCCCTAGACTTCTCGCGACCCGGGTGTCTGCTGCCCTTCTTTGTAGAATGTGGCCCTAATTCGTCTCTCTGAAAGGCTGAGAGGGAGTTAACTGTCAGGCTGCAAAGCCTCTCTCCCTTCCCTCCCCCTACCCAATTCCCTGACTTAAACCAACCACAAAATTACATCAGAAGAGTATATTTTGGAAGAAGGGCGGGTCGGAGGAGATAATCCGCATTCAGATTAAATCTGCCGAGAGAAAGAGGGGAGTGCATTTATTGAGGGTCACCAACTAGCGAAAATCGCGTTTGATTCTCAGGGGAAGCTCTGAGAGGGGGAAAGGTGGGTGAGATTCCTAGGACGAGCGGGGCGCGAGCCGGGGTGCTGGCATCCGCCCCTGGAGGTGGAGGACGGCCGGACGGTCCCATGCGCGGCCCCGGCGCGCCGGCCAGGAGCGCGCAGGGCCGCGGTTCACTCGCTCCCGGCGCCCCTAATGGGCACTCGTGCATTCCTGCTCGTGCGGTGAGCGCACGCACGGCACCGCCGGGTTCGCAGGCCCCCTGAATAAAGGGAGGGCCGTGAAGAGCGAAGAAGCGCTAGGCAGATTTTCTTCCTCTCCCGGGGGCTGGGAAAAGGGCCAGCCCCGTGCCCTGCACGCCTGGTTGTGCTTGGCAGCTCGGGGGTAAGCGGAGAGCCGGTCGAGCAGCTGCCGCGCACGGTTCGGGCCGTGTCACCATTTCTTCTCTTGCTGACCTGCCCTGGAGCCAGGGACGGAGGCAGCGCCGCAGAGGTACGCTTTACTCCACCCGCCCCTGCCCCTTCCGAAAGGAATGCCCCACAAGGGGGAAAGTTCGCCTTGCCATTTGTCTCGCCTACAAAGTTCTTGGATGTCGGGCATCTTTTGAGGAGGGGGAGAAGCAGTCCTGCCGCAGCCGGCCGGCTGGGAAGAGAACTTCTTCGGTTCAGGGCGCAGCTCGGTAGCGGGGACGCTCCGTGCCGCCTGCAAGCCGGTTAGGATGGAGCAGGGAGGTTTGAACCGGTCCGGGGACGCTGAAGCTGGCATTGGCCGCGTCATGCGGTGCTTCATTTACCCTCGATCACGGGAGGACAGCAACAAGTCCTGCCCCAGCCATTTCATCACCCGGCCAGCACGTGTGGATTCCGGGCGCGCGGAGCCGGGTGTGGACCTCGCGCTTTCCTCTTCACGCCCCGCTCCACCCCAAGAGTTTGAGCGACCCAGAGTGGGCGCCCAGTTCTGGGCGAAGCGCCCGGGGCGCGCTGCGTTGGTGCGGGATGTCTTCACCCAGCAGCTCCCCGCCGCCGGGGCGCACGCGCTTACCTGTGTTCTGCAAGGACAGACGGCCTTTCTGCTGGGAGCCCCTGTCTTGGGGACCTTCGGGGGGGTTGGTGGCGTCGGTCCCTAGAGCTGGATCGAAGGTAACCAGCACCAAAGCCAGGGTCACGAACTGGCCCAGCCGCTCGGCACACATGGTTCTTGGTGTAAATCTCCAGCCCGGAGACCTGGATTCTTTGTGCTCTCCTCCGCCTCTTCCTCCTCCTTCGCCGCTTCCCCTCCTCCTCCCACTCTTCCTCCCGGCTCGCCTTTTCCCTCCTCGCGGCCGCGGCTCGGATAGAGGTTACCCAGCGCCCTCCCGTAGCTCTCCGGAGAGCATGTGACCAGGCCGTTAGCAGCGCCGCGAGTGCCGGGCAATGGCAGGGACGGTGCCTCAAATATCCCTGGAAGCTCTGGTGTCACTTGAATGAAGGAGTCGAGCAGGTGTTGTCCCGGCGGCTGGACCAATCCGAGACCCCCGCCCGTTTGACAACACGGCTGGGAGGCGGGGCCTGCGCCCAACTACTACGGGAGGAAGCCGAGCGCCGCTGGGAGCGCCCGACAAAGTTGCCGACCTGGCGGTGGCCACGCGTTTGCGTGCGCGTGTGAGTGTGTGAGAGCGCGGCCGGAGATACATGCGCGTGTGCGGGTGCTCCAAGGCAATGGCCGAACGGACTTAACTAAAAGCGAATCCTAGCTCCGGTTGCAGCTAAAGAAAGGCGAGAGGGGATGGTCTGCGCTGGGACAGCGTCCCCCGTCCCCTCCATCCCCCTCGGGCTCCTGGCTCGCATCACCCCCGCAACGGGCTGGCAGTTTCCTCTTTCTGCCTCTTGTAATTTAGTTAAGATTTCCAGCCCCGAGGCCTTGACAGATTGGAGAAGTTTCCTGGACACAGTGGTGCTGGGGGCAAGCTGGGCACAGATGGGAATTCCTGGCGGTGTGATGCTTTGCATTAAAAACAAAAAATCCTCCAAACTATTTTAAGATAGGAGCAGAAGCACTAGATGCAGGACTCCGCTGGAGCGGTTGCCCCATCTTCCTCTTTTCGCCCCGCCGTGGTGGGCCTTGCCACACCTTAGGCGCCAGATTCTTGCCCCTCCCTCAATCCAGACGGATTCTGGGCTGGGCTGCAGGGATCCAGGTGAGAGACTGGACTTGCATCATTTACAGGCGGGTGGCAGGGAGGCCCAGGCAGCCCTGAGTCAGCCCGCGGCGGAGCATCGCGTGCCCCGGAGGCTGGAGCTTGAAAGGCAACTTTACGCGTCTCCAAACATACTCTTCCATTTTCCCAAAGCGCTACTCGCCGCCGCGTTCTGTGTTCCCTTTACTCTTCATTCATCGGATGGTAAAGGTTAAAAAAAAAAAAATTCTCCCCAAACCCTAAAAACAGAACGCGAGGAAATTCTCTCCATCTCTTCTCCTTTCTTGCTCGAGCTCCCTCCCCAAGCACGGCCGGCGCTGGGCTGCCCTCGACTGCTTTCTCGCCCCGGCTTGCGGAAGCAGGGAGAAAGTTGGGCGCCGCTCGGAGCGCCTCTTCCCCCGCTGTGTGTGTACGTGTGCACGCTCACGTCTCCCCCGCGCCGAGGCCGGGGACAGGAACTGCTCCGGGCACCGTCAGTCCGACGGCGCAGCTCTGGGGGCTCGTGGGGCAGGGGGAGGGCGGGGACGCGAGCGCTGCACCGCTCACCCCGGGTCGCCGCGCTTTCGCCCCTCCCCCGCCGTCTCCACCCTCCTGCAGAACAGGTGAGCTTGGGTACCAGCTCCAAACCCCCACCCCCGCCCCGCTCCCAGCCCGCGCCCTCTGCGGTAATGCGCCCCGGAGGTTTCATCACCCACTGCCCGCGGCGACGCGGCGCTGGGTCTCCGCGGCGGGGCGCACCGAGCGCCTCGTTGGGGCAGCCTTGTGACACAGTTGGGGGAGGGGGTGCGGAGACGCAGGGGCCAGGTCGTCCTCTGTCAACCGTTCGGCTTCCCAAGCTCCCCTCCCGAGGTCCCGGATGCAGGAGGGCGTTAGGAACCGGGATGGGGGCAGGGTAGGCACCAGTGGCTGCGGCTGTCCAGTGTCCAGCGGCCCAGAGGTGGGAGGAACGATAGGAGGGGGTGGGAAAGGCACCTTCGAGTAGGCCCTCCCAGGGGTTGCAGCACCTGGGAGCTAGCTGCTGTCCACCATCCCCATCCGATTTCAGAACCCCAGGAAAGGATCACTTTGAATGTCTGAGTTTGTGTCGTGACAAAGAGCTGACCACTCATGCCCGTGATTCCAATAACAATTACGTCTTACAGCCTCAAGAGTTTGAGGGGAAGGAGGTGGGGTACAAGTCCATTATATTAATAATAGGTGGTGCACACTTCCCACTCTGCTTTTGTTTGGATATTTATTTCCTTTATTAGTTTATGAAACACCATCTCCTGTAGATTCTTAAGAGACAAAACATAACAAAACACCAACGGCAGTCTGGCCTCCCACGAAGTCCATAAGCCTCTGAATTTCCTGGGTAGGCTTTCTTTCCTTGGAGAGCCTCTTTTGTAGGTGAGAACATGAGTAATATTGGCATTAAAAAGGGCATCTGATCTCTTGGCTCTTTGAGCAACAGAAACAGAAGAGGTCTAGCGGGTGGGAGCAAGCCCACCTTTGTGGGATGCAGTCACTCTGAGTCTTCTTGTTAGAAGGCTGGGCCGCCACCTGGGCAGATGCAGGTCTCTGCCTCCCAGAGCTGGGGCACAGCCTTTTGCCACCACAAGGCCCTGGGACTGCCCTCAAAGGACCTGCATAATAGAAAAATTCATCTTGAAGCTATTTGCTCCAGTTTCACAGGAGACATTCATGTCTGCTACCTGAGCCACCTGCCCCTTTCAGAAAAAAAAAAAAAAAAAAAAGCAGTGGTTGGATTTGAGGTAAAGCAAGTACAGTTACCAGTTCTTTTTTTTTTTTTTTCAGTTACCAGTTCTTAAGAGTTATATATTCAGACCACTTGGCCAGAGCCAGACATCCAGAGAAGAATGCCCATCCCAGTCTGTCCCATCAGGGCTGAGAAAATTCTGCAGAAGTAGGAGGCAGTGTACTGGGATTACCAGTTGAGGCCACGGGCCTGGGGTCAGAGTAGGGAGAAGAGCTCAGGCTGGTGACTGTGCTGTGATCTTCCCTTTCTCCTTCTAGCCTCATAACTCAGGCCTGGTTTGGCAGCCTGTGGCTGGTCACAGTAGGGAGTAGGTAAGGGGTAGTAATAATGAGAGTAAGTATTATTATTACTGTAAAGGAAACATGAATGGGGAACAGACACTGGACCATGCGTTGTGCTTGCAGATTTGGTCTCTCACTAGATGGGAACTGAGACTTTGGAGATGTAAGGACAGTCCAGCTGGTATTGCCCTGAGACTCAGCAAGCGTTCTTGGCTGGATGAGAAGGAGTTTAAGACCCTACTGGCAGTGGGAAGGAGGAGGCAGGCTCCCTTCGTGACGTCTGGGGGCTTCTGTGGTTAATGCGTGGAACCCTAGTTTTCCTCTCTCACTCCAATTCGCCAATTAAATCCAAACAGTGAGTGGGTTACTTCGGGTCTGAGTTTGAAAGGGGAGAGGATACTAACAAGTGGAACAGGAACAGAGGGTATTGTAGGAGGGAGGACCAGCAGGGGTAAATGACCAGAGGGGACGTCATGCGTTTCATATGAGGAATAGGAGCTGCCCAGTTTGGTATTCAAATGCAAGATAAACCTGTCAAGGGCGTTTGGGGCCTTGTTGCAGGGCCTTTGTGAATATATCTGTGCTCACCAGAGGAGATTTTGTTATCTCATCCTGGTGGCATTTAAGGATGAAACTCCAGGATGCTCTCATACTAGATTCCCTTTTGGAGTTAGGAAAAGGTCAGCAGCCCAGAGCTGACACTGTGAAGGGTGAGAGGAATGGTAAATAATTAGTTGGAATCTTGATGTGGATTGCTAAGCCTAGAAGGATGTGTGGATTGCTAAGCCTAGAAGGATGTTCTTGCTTGGGTGTGAGCAGGTGGTGCCTTGGAGGATGGGAAGTTGTTGAATGATGAGGTGGTGTTGTGTAGGTTCATGTTAATACTTGGTGGCTGGTCCAGGCTTTCTGAGTTCTAAAGCCAGAGTGGAAAACGTGGCTTCCACGTGTGGAGCTCCTCCTCCTGCAAGCCACGCCCCCTTGGGGGCCGACTGTCTGGACTGATGGCACCACCTTATGGTCAGAGAGGGAACTGCCTGTCCAAATAGTGGACTCTCCTCTTCCAGACTCAGACCTGATACTAGGTCTTCCACCTTCTCCTCAATTTCCCTAGTAAATAAGTTAATGCAGAGTTAGACAGTCTCCTCCTTGCAACTACATGCTTCAGTCACCCCATCAAGTAAATCTCATTCAAACTTCTTGCTTTTCCTCCCCCATCCTTTGATGTGAGCCTCAAATGTATTCTCATCACGACTCCTTTGTATCATGTCTCTATGAGGGAACATGGCAAAGAAGGTGCACACGTGATACTGGCCAGACAGAATAACAGTAAAATGCTGCTATCAGCCTCCCAAATAAGTAGAGGTCTCACCCTAAAAAGTCTCTATCTTTCCCTTTGTTTTCTTTCATTAAACCAGTTGTTTCATTAAGTGGAATTCAAGAGAAGGGAGTCTGTATCATCCATCTTTGAGTCTGTATATTGGTGTTACAACAAAATTGCTCTCTACTCATTTTCACAGTAAATGTCCGGGGCTTCAATAACATTATGAGTTAAGAAGACTTTTGTGGGGCTGCTCTGGAAACCTCACCATCATTTATAGTATTGTTTATTGGAGGAAAAACCATTCCTAGTTCCCAAAATAACCAACTCCCAAAGGTTTGGAGTACACCACTTTTGTGAATTGGACATTTCCTCTATGTCATAGATTAATAGTCAAACCATAGTTGTGGATTGACTGGAAACAAAAGATGAATGAGGATTTAAAAAAACTCCAAGAGAATAATAACACTGTCTCCTCACTGTAAAGAATCAAAAGCCGTAATCATCAGGCGTCCGATCATGGTCTGAATTTTGTCTG